GACAAAGTCGTTCGAAGTGAAGACCGGTGTTAGGCAAGGTTGCTTACTCTCACCCTTTCTCTTTCTCCTGGTGATCGACTGGATCATGAAAACGTCAACGTCCGAAGGAAAGCGCGTGATACAATGGACATCTAAGATGCAGTTGGATGATCTAGACTTCGCAGACGATCTGGCCCTTCTATCCCAAACGCAACAACAGATGCAGGAGAAGACAAACAGTGTGGCAGCAGCCTCAGCAGCAATAGGTCTCAATATACACAAAGGGAAAAGCAGGATTCTCCGATACAACACAGAATGCACCAATTCAATCAAAATTGACGGAGAAGATTTGGAAGATGTAAAAACCTTTACGTATTTGGGCAGCATCATTGATGAACTGGGTGGATCTGATGCAGATGTGAAGGCGCGGATCGGCAAAGCAAGAGCAGTATATTTACAACTGAGGAACATCTGGAACTCAAAGCAACTGTCAACCAACACCAAGGTCAGGATTTTCAATACAAATGTCAAGACACTTCTACTGTACGGGGCAGAAACCTGGAGAACTACAAAAGCCATCATCCAGAAAATACAGGTATTTATTAACAATTGTCTACGCAAAATACTTCAGATCCATTGGCCGGACACTATTAGCAACAGCGCACTGTGGGGGAGAAAAAACCAGATCCCAGTGGAGGAAGAAATCAGGAAGAAGCGCTGGAAGTGGATAGGACACACATTGAGGAAAGCACCCAACTGCGTCACAAGACAAGCCCTCACATGGAATCCTCATGGTCAAAGGAAAAGAGGAAGACCAAAGAACACATTACGCCGAGAAATGGAGATAGACATGAGAAAAATGAACAAGAATTGGATGGAACTAGAAAAGAAGGCCCAGGATAGAGTGGGTTGGAGAATGCTGGTCAGCGGCCTATGCTCCATTGGGAGTAACAGGCGTAAGTAAGTAAGTAAGTAAGTTATCTTTATGTTGTTCACTAATGTAGAGATTAAATATACAATATGAGAAAAATTATTTAAAAATAAATATGATGACATGAGAATTGATACAAAGATTAGAGTTGATTTCAATCATGGAATAATATCACTCACAGAACAGTTGGTGTCCAACCAACATGCACAAGCAAGTGGCTATCAGGACTCTGTAGCTAAGTGGATAACGCGGTGAGACTATAATTTATGGACGACCTTTGAGCAAAGCTAAAGTGATCATGAGAGTCATCACCTGATAACTAGGACCAAATGAGGATTATAAACCAGTGTGAGGAATTAGAATTATGATTTACAGTTGATGGTTAGGGTTAGGAATTACATTTAAGGTTTTCATCACGTACTTACATCAGCTATAATGCCGAAATGGTATTTAGCCAAATGGATGGGTGAATTTCGCGCTAAAATCCGAGACCTCTTATCTTACACCTGATTGGTTCGTTCATAAATTATAGTCTTTGATAGCGCGATGGCATTTGAAGCGAATAGCACTGGATGAATAAATGGCTTCTTTATAGATGGATATGTACGTTAGAGAAATACATAACTATAGACCTGATATTATAAGATAATGCTTAGAAGTAATAGAACATGAAGTAGAACTTTGATCAGATAACACATGAGTATAGCCTCCATAATAATGTGTGACAGTTCACTGACTTATTCATAAAACAACGAAGTTTACAAATGAAAGAATACAGTTTTTTATATTATGCGCAAATACTAAAAGAAATCATGAATACTCACTTTTTTACAGTTTATAACCCGGATGAATGGACAGTTTAGTTACCATCAATTTTTTGTGGTTCTTCAAATAGTCAATATTCACAAAAAACTGTTTATTTTAATACATTGAACATTTTAAAAGAATGAAGCTGAATAACTGTTATACTGGTTAAAACTATCTACAAGCTGTGAAATCAGTCAATACGTGCCCAACAAACTTCATGTAGTACATTCACTTAATGTTATTTTACTTGTATCTTCCCAATGTTATTTAGGACCGCAATTGATCAACAGGTACATCCAGCTGACGAGTCCCAAATGGGACGAGACGCGCGTCCTGGATTCCACTGCTAGCCACTAACCATCTTTATTTAGTACATATTTAACTGAGATGAGTGCATACGAATTTGAGGTGTCAATTCCTTAGATTGAACAAATTCACAGTTTAATTGTAACAATCCCAGTATATCAGAATCTAATATTCATTAAATGACTTAATAATGGTAAAGTGAAGGAAAAGTTTTAGCAAGAATGAAAGTTTTATTCAATTTTCAATGTAGATTCACATAATAATTGAAAAATGAAATTAATTCACAATTAAACATTGTAAACTGGACTTATTTACGAAAACAAAATTGTAGTGACTCAATTACTGTGTAGGTTTTGTTCCAATTCTTATAAAAGGATTCAATCACATGGAATCGACATTCTATTTAACGCCAAACTTACATAAATTATTTCAAGTCGTATTATTAAGCATAATTAATGTTGACTAACATTTTCAAAACTCAAATATTTTTAATGATAGAAGTCAAAATGTCGGGTGAAAGTAATCAGTTCAATTCAGTCAAGCTTAGGAAGAATATAGCCAATGCTTCAACACAAAGTTTAGTATTGGATAAATGACAGTGAGTTCACACAACTCTACGTAAACCAGTTCATATATATGTAAAAAGAAGAAATCATCTTACACAATTTTGAGTGATGAGGTATCTATTTAAAGAGCTCCGAATACATTTGAAGTTCCAAAGTCAAGTTGTTATAAATGGTAAACAAATATGTTTTTTATAGCTTCATCTATAATATAAATAAGTCATGAAATCACCCTTCAATACAAATTTCAACATCTAATTTATCAACCATCAAGAAGATATTTTCAAGTTTAGGAAAACTTTAGCTAACTCAAAATATCTACTATACTTTTAGTAACCTTTATGATTACAATTAATTAATTTGATCATTTTCGATATTAAAACACGAATTTCAGCGAAGGGATCTCTTTTCAACGAATTTATTATCAAGCTGTACAATCGTATATATATGAAAATTTTGTTCAATCATCCCGCGCTTATATGGACTACCGAAAGTACATAAACCCGGTTTACCGTTACGACCTATTTGGGATATGTCGGATTCACCATACCACGGAATCGCCAAATGGCTAGCGAAAAAATATTGGAACCTGTTAGAAGGCAAGTATCTAAAATTTCTATTCATGATACTTTTCAATTTATTGATCGTATTAAGGACGTTAATACTTCCGGAAAACACATTTTATCGCTTGACGTTAACTCTTTGTCTACTAGCGTACCTTTAACCGAAACGATATGTTATATATGTGAGTATATTGATTCCAACAACATAGATTTATGTTTGCCGACTGAACACTCGAAAGAACTGTTGTTACGCTGTACTTTTAATGTCCAGTTTAGTTTCAATAATGAAATATATAGACAAAGAGGTGGGATCGCAATGAGATCTCCATTGGGCCCGATTTTAGCATATTGTTTCATGGCAAAACTAGAAAACGACTAACTCAGTTCAATGATTAATCGACTTCACCTATACGTAAGATACATGGAGGACAACTGTCGTTTGTGACGATAATATCGAATTAGAGGATATCTTACACACCTTCAACTCATGTTACCCTTCCATAGACTTCACGTTAGAAAGCGAGAGAGACCAATCAATCTCTTTTCTCGATGTACGTCTAATGAGAAGGAGTAATGGTTCCTTAAAAAGAACCATCTATAGAAAACAAACATGGAATGACCAGCTAACCAACTTCTATAACTGGGTTCCTTTAAGTAGAAAAAGAAATCTCATCCACTTTTTATTTCATCGAATACATCGGATATGCAGTGTGCAATACATTAACGAAGAACTCTCATTCCTCAGGAAAACCTTGACGAAAAATGACTACCCAGACCGTTTCATAGAGAAGAATATGAGTAGAAGTAGTTGCGACAGGAAATCTTGTTGTTCCGTCCCAAAGGAAAACCTCTATATAAGTCTGGAATTTAAAAGGGATCGACCATCTGACGTAATCAAAAATCGTCTAATGACAGCGATTAAAAGAACATTTAATGCGGCAAAACTGCGAATAACCTTCTCTAGTAGGAACTTATTTTCTGTATCCAAAAAAAGATAAGCTTCCGCGTCTAGTCGCTTGTATGTGCATCTGCCAGTTCACCTGCTCTTGTGGAGCAAGGTACATTGGCCGTAGCCAGCGCTCGCTTTCAACTTGGATACGGGAACATGTCCCAGTTTGGTTCTAGAAGGGTGAAAGAAAAGCAGTTAGGAGTTCTATACTTGGACACCTAATCGACTGTAATCATTCTACGGATCCACAATTTAATTCTAAGGTTGTTTATATGATTCGTTCAAATCTACCTTGATTTCTTCATATCCAACTCTTAAAAATAGCCGAAGCTGTTAACATCCACGAGCTCAAACCATAACAATGCGTACAAAAGAAATACGTCTTATTGTTATCGTTACCTTGGCCTTAATTATTATTATTATTATTACTGCATTCCCCCTTTACTTATGTCTTATATTCTCATTGTTTTATTCATGAATACTCATCATATCACCATATTTATTTTTACACCTCTATGACCTTAAATTATTATATCAGAAACATTTTAATCATCTTATTATATTCACCAAATCCATTGTTATTGTGATTATTCATATTACGTAATCTAGTATTATAACCCTTTTTTATTAGTACTTTTACAAAAACAAAATTTTCATATATATACGATTGTACAGCTTGATGATAAATTCGTTGAAAAGAGATCCCTTCGCTGAAATTCTCATTTTTGATATAGTGAATACGTGCAAAAAATGTGTCGATCAAAGAGTATCACATTTACTTTATATCAAATTATTTTCATTAAAACCAATCATATTTAAATAAATAAATTTTAAAATAATATGTCGTTTAATAATAATAATAATAATAATAATAATAATAATAATAATAATAATAGACTAACCTCAGTCCAGTAGGTATCAGTAATGATATGATATTCTGTTGTCTCACTGATACCTCCTCCTATTGAAGTAGTAATATTATGGATAGATTTTGTAGTTGTCATTTTCAATTCATTGTCATGAATTCGATCAGTATTTACATGTTCCATTGTTACAAACAAACAAACAAAATAATAATTGTTATTAGAAATAACTATTAATCACAAAGCATTGAATGCAGTAACTGTTCTAAAAGAAAAAAAAGAGCTAAAAGTGTTTATTTTGCTATTTATTATTATTATTATTATTATTATTATTGTAATTGGATGTCTGCCAGATAAAATTCTGTAATAGTTTTAGTCTAGTGTGCAGTGTAATAGGCGTTCTAATAACACTGTTTCATATATATATATATATATATATATATATATATATATATATATATATATATATATATATATATATTGTAAGTTGGTCTCCTATTGGTCAACTAATCCATAAATATTGATTATAACGATCACATACCTTAGCATAAAACTGCTCTATTCATAAATATATACATGATTAATTTGTATTTAGAACTCTAAATGAACTATCAAATTTAACGTTTTAAAGATCTTGTTTTATGCTTATTTATTTGAGAATATTGTAAATAATTGTAATGAATAAGTTTAATGATCAAAGCCAAACTCTATTTTAAACTAATTGAAGTATAAAAGAGAATAATGGAAACTGGTTTTATTTTGATAAGGAGATGAAATTTTGAAAAAAACAAGAAACTAGTCTACTGAGTAATTACAATTACTTGTTATCATTTTTTTTTCATCTGGTTACTATTGTTGCCTTTTGTAAAAGGATATATGAGTTTAAACAAACTGTTGATTAGGGTTGATGTAAAGTTTTATGATTAGAACACTACATTATGTATTTCCACTTTGTTGATTGTAATTCATAGTAGTCTTTATAGAGGTGTAAATTATATGTCCGTTCTTAATATGATTATTTCCAAAAACAAAATACACAAAAATATAATATTTAAGTTTTTTACAATTTCGCTCATTTTAGTTAATTAAATTATCCTCTCTTAGAGAGATACTTTCTTGTCGCGTTAATTCACTGTTTGAACCATATTTACACCACTATTAACATAGTAAAAAAGACTACTTATCTGTACGTGACGTATATATGGATGAGAAGTTTAAAGTTGATTTTCCTTTAGTATTCAAACTGATAGGGGCTTATGGAGACCTTCATAAATCTCAATAGTAATTAATCATCTACTCTCTAATGACTGACCATGAGTGGCAGTTACGGAGTTCCAATGAGAAGCTGTGACCAGTAAAGTTCGATTCAGTTGAATGTCGAACAGTTATCCATCAAGTACTTTGGGAAATGATTGCACTATTCCATGGATTGATTGAAGTTATACATATCAAACATGGCATGCCGGCTCAGAGTTTGCTTCCGAATTCGATCCCTGGTGGCGTGGTTATGGATGTGCACTTTTTGAAGTCCCATTCTAGAGAGAAATGGGTATCTACTGCTTCCTGGTGTCCACTGGCTATTTAACTAGGTTCATTCTTCGATTTAATCACTTTTATTTGATCTCCGTATACTACGCCTTCCATATAAAAGTAATATGTTTGTCCTTACTAATCTTTATTTCAGAGCATACTAAAAAGTTGTTTGTTGCAAAAAAGTATAAACTTTGGTTTAAGTTAAATTGGTATATTGTGTGCTGTACGATACATTGATTGATTTACCAAACAAATGTTTATATCTCTGGTTGTGGGAAACAAATAACTACTAAATCTCGTTGGCCACACAGATATTATGATTTAGCCAGGTTACTCAATGAGGTTGAAATATATTGCTCAGCAAGCATGAGAAATGCTGCTATTAGATGTGTGGTATTATGAAGAAATCGTAAATCGGTTGATGAATGTATTAAATGGTTGGAAAGTGTGATATGAGTGTTTAGCCAATCCAAATTGCGGTGCACAATACAAGTTTATGTAGGAGTAGCCGTGAAGAAAGCTAAGGGTAACCAGATAAATAAGTAGCACCGATCCATGAATTCTTTAAACAGGCTGGGATTCTGTTATCCCGGTTGTGACCACCATGATAATTACTTTCTTTTGTTGCCTCATGTGTTCTATTGACGAGAATGCAATAATACTTCATTTTTATCTTAATGTCAAATCTTGAAATTATCCTATACTTCTCAATCCCCGAATTCATTTGTTATTTTCATACTATATTTTTATGTCTATCTATCCACCACCCTCTCGGGAATAATTTGTGAGTGACCAATTTTGAAACAAGAATCAGTATAAGGAGAAAACGACTAGTCGATAGCTAATTAATTTGATGAAAAATTCATTTAAAAATGAAAATTATTAATTTCAGACTGTTTTTCTAATGATTTTTCCATGTAAAATACCAAGATGAACTGTTGATTGTCACTTAACTTTAAACTCCAAGTGACACGTTGCTCCGTTAAATGTTGGTTTGCTTTGTATAATTGTTTTAGCACAACAATGATTTGCAAGTCATATTGAAATGAGTGACTTTGATGTTTTAAACATTTCGATTGACTACGAAAATATTTTCGTATTTCTCTTTTTTATATATCATGCAACGTAGCAACTGCTTGGTTTTCGAATAATCACTTTGATTATCAGAAGGGGTTTGTGGAGATTTTAGAAATTTCACAGATTGAAATCATGAGTCAGTTGAAGCTAGACCACTTTGATTATTATTAATCCTCTTTCTTCCGATTACTCAATTTTAATTTATAATTGTTATGTCATTATATAATTACTACGCAAAGTATCCACTCGATAACTATTATTTGATTATTGTAAATCATATATATGAAATTTCTTCGCTCGATAATTATCTAAAGGGTAATGTTGTGTAATGTTTATTACCAATTAACCAAGCAAATGTTGGCTAATTTAATCCGAATAAGTAATATCCTATAATTACTTAGTTTTAAGCGATTTCAAGTTATATGTCCCTTGGTGTCAAGTGATTTATGAGTAAACAAAAATAAATAACAGAGATTGTGTCATAATCACATTTACAAGGAAATTTATGAACCCCTGTAGACGAAGATGGTATGAATGGTTGAATAAATGGAAATAGTAAGCGCTGGTGGCTAATTTTATGTGAATCAATGTATATATCTTTAATATGTATTAATTATATAATTGATTTATAGTATTTTGATATTGATCAAAATTTCCTACGCAACAACTTATTCTATATATTTTTGTGTTCGTAAATTTTTATTAATTCTTCATAGACCTGTTACTCATGCTGCACAATGAAGGTACTAATTATTTGTAGATGATGATTTTTGGTGAGTTGTGAACTTGAGTTGCAAGCACATGATGATGCGAGTTTCAAGTCCATTATTATGTAAAGTACGTGGTCGGATTTTCAGTGTTCTGATTGGTATTTAGAGGGACAGGGTAATACATTGTGTGGACTAATGGAATATTGATAATCTGAGTAACTTCGCTGTATGTGTCATAATTAGCGTGGGCTTGATAAAGAACACTGAATTTTTGTTTAATATGTCGCAACTTTGTTTCAGGGACTGAATATGCTACGAATATTATTGTTTTAAAAAAACGACTTGAATATTGCTAAAATATAAAACACTTATTTGAAATCATATACTGAAAGACTTTTTATTTGTATACTTTATCTCAGTTTCCATTGTGCTTTGAAGTGTCGCAGGGTGTTACAAGTCACAACTATATTCACCATTTACCTTCGTTTCATTGATAACTCAGTGAAATTCTTGATATAATTGTAAACAGGAGAAAATCTTTGGAAAACTTCGATTGTAGTTAGCGGTCGGGTATTAGATGTTTATTTTGTCCTATATAGAATTCGGCATCTGGATTTACCTGCTAGCAGTGTTCATTTTTATTACCTCGGTGAATAAAATAATAGTGTTTGGAGAGAAAGATACTAGATTACTATGTGAACATTAACACTAGAATACAGGTACATGTATAGCTAACTAGAAACTCACATTATGAATTAGAGTAATAGCTCCAACACAACTTTGCTATAACTTTAGAATAAATGAAATTACTGAGACAATCCAATTTTGATGCAAATATTTCAACAGGGACTGATCAAATTCAATCCCTAACAAAAACAATAAAAAAATATAAGGGTTTTTGTGGAGACTGTAGTAATTTCAATAGTTGAAATCATGAGTCAATTGAAGCTAGACCACCATGGAAAACCTGAAAGCACTGGACAGTCGTTTCTTCCTATTGTGGGACTCTTCAGCAGTGCGCATCCACGACCCCGTCACAAAGGATTCGAACCCAGTACTTATCAGTCTCGCGCGCGAGCGCTTAATTAATAGACCACTGAGCCGGTCGGCATCCAACGGTGTTAACGTCTAACTTCAACTAATCCATGAAATTGAGTGACTTTTACAAAAAAAAGAAGACTGCGAATTCCAAGTTAGTCAAAATCTTTCCGTTTAAGGTGTATTGCAAAATAAAAACCCATTTAAAATGGGTTATTTGTTAAACCATCAAAGTTGTGTAACATTTGTATACTGAAAAATATATTTTTTTTAATAGCTGAAGTGAGAAATGGCATTAACCAAGCGAAATATAACATGCTGTAAAAATTTTATTCTGTTTTCTGATTGATATGCAAAATTACTTGAGAAATTGATAAAATAAACAGTGATTAATTAATAATGAACGATTGTGAATGATTTAAATCTTGATTATTTCACAACAATAGTTAACAAGTATTTAAGTCTTAAGTAAAAATACGAGATCGATAAGTTCTGGGTTCGAATCTCGCGAGGAGGCATCATGGATGCGCACTGCTGAGGAGTCCCAGAATAGGACGAAACGACAGTCCAGTGCTTCCAGGTTTTCCATGGTGGTCTAGCTTCAATTGACTCATGATCTGAACTATTAAAATTACTATAACATCCACAAAACTCCTTCTAATAAAATTACTTGACATTTAGTTTTTTGGAAAGAGTTGAAACTATCCAAAGTTTAAACTCTTCATTATCTAGTGTACTTTGTATCTATAATTAAAGCAATACATTTTAATCATCTAAATCATAATTATATTTTATTACTGATATAAGTTTAACTATACGGATATATTCATATATAATTATTAAATGTTATAAAAGATTCTAACTTTACACTTAAATCAGTATTTATTTTGTTCAGCGAATCATTAAACCAGTTCATGTTATCAATCTTATCTTATATTCACTATTTTCTAATTTATTTTCTCGCTTTAAT